CAACTACAGAAGCTGTACTGCATTAGCGACTTGAAAACTGGCAACCGACGCGCCAGAAAGCTTGGGTACTAGATCCACAGACCTCACTGAGTCCACGCTGGAGTGCATCGCCCTGGTAATGTTGCTGTGTTGCCTTGCCCACCGCTTTCTGGTCTCCTTCCCACCCTTTCAGTGTATTGTCATATTGTCGCTTTTTATTGTAATCAACCTTGGCCATCTTATGCTAGTTCAGTGATCACGATCAGCTAAAAGAACGGGCTCTGCGAAGAAGCTCACCGGCGAGCGCATGCGTCGCGTGCACGGTACCACGGCAGTCCCAAAGCAGTAACCTTTCTAGCACTCTGTCAGTGTATTGTAAACAACAGGAGACAAGGGGGAAGGCAATAAGTAAGAAATGATGTTTGATTAACAGCTCAGGACATAGAAGGCTGCTGAAAAGCATGTTCCAAAAAATAGATGGGATATTCCTCATCAGGTATGCTAATTCTATCCCACGCTACCGGCTAAGGCAAATATGACCTGATAAAGAGCCAATCTATAAAATCGCAGTGATCTCAGCGCCTGCCAGTGTTCAGTCCATCGCCCCACCATAGCAGCGACTCGCTCGGCACGCGCCACATGCGCGTTACTGGTGAGTTTTTTCTCCCCCACAAGAACAAGGGACAGATGGAGTCGTATGGAGCCGATTTTCCAGATTACGGATTTCTCTGAATCGCGGATTCTTATTCGCAATGTATAAAGGCAGCGTTAATGTGGTAGCCCATTTTACAAGAAACTACTAGCAATAAGCGGGCAGCAATGAAGAAGCTCTCCTGTCGTTTCACACCAGGTTTTTCCTCAACAAGTTAACATGCTCATATGAAATGATAGAATTTTCAGCCGTGCTCACGAAAGCTGAAGTTCGTAATCCCGAAGAAGTTTATCCACAACGGTAACCCGAGGCCAGAGCAATGGCTGGATATTGGCGTAATGAACCTGGAAGGCGCCTTTGATCAAGAAGGACGTGAATGCATGAACTAAGCCCCTATAGACTTATTTTAGTCATCGGTTCTTTCAACATAACATTCAGTTTTATTTTTGTGTGGATGCAAATTGATTGAAGTCTCAGTATACTACATTTTCACTAGCAGTCGTAACTAGCCGACGGTTTTGCCTCTTCGTTGTCGGATGGTGGGTTCCGTTTGAGAAATCGCTGACGGAGTTGCGAGTTGGCGATGGCATTTCTGATTCGGAAACGCTCCACTGCTTGGGGACGTGGAATCCGCGACCGAAAGCCGCCTGAGCCAGACACCTGGAAGATTATTTCGAATCGTCGCGTCAATACCATTTCGTGTTACTACCTTCCGGCACTATTCAACTAACTGCCTGTAAATCTCAAAAGTTTCTGCTAAGATTCCCAGTGCAGCTTTATATCCTTGATAAGGGCACTGCGTAACCCTTATTAGCAGAGTTTCGACAAAATTGTTTTCTAAGTTTCCAGGATAATGATAGTTTGTCATAGTGCTCTTTTCATGCAGTATTTATCCTACTACAATGATGACTCATTTTGATAGTCTCAAAGGCGAACTGTACATACACTTACACGGTCCTTTCCATGGGTAAGGTGAACTGGTGCGCAGGTGCTGTAGTGTGCCACTTTCTCCGTTCAAAAATGCACGAAAGCGAGGCT